GCTTTTATAAATCTAGTGACTTCATGTCTTTTTCCACCATGATTGCGAGCGCATGTTGATCCTTGCTGATTCTCGTAGTTCGTGATTTGTCAGGCGCAGAGAGGTTAGATTTTCTTTTATCGCACGGAAGGATGGCCGACGAGTAAGTAATTTTGACGGCTCAAAAAATCCGGTTGCATCAACCGACAATATGATTTCGCGAATGCATAAATGTTGTATTAGCAATCGTTTATGTTGCATGCGTATTAGTGAATAAATATTTTTACTTTAAACAAATAACAAACGGGATTATCAACCGGAAGTTTGTGAGCACATAGTTGCTCCTCACCACGCGATAATGTCGTTATTATTTACACATATCCGAAAAAAGACTTCGTTTTCCATTGATCAAAACTCATTTTGCTATTTAGACGTTTGTATTTTGTATGAAAGCTGAAAAATACGGCAATCGATATTACCTAACTCCAGCGAGTTTATGTGATTAACAAAACACCATGTGTACCATTTAACGAGGGGGTAACCACTAGCTGAAATATTGTTCTACAAATTATATGATTTTATCCTATTTTATCTGATTACGAATAATTTTTTTTACAATATATATGTGAGATCATTTGGTAAAATAAATGATTTCATTTGATACACACAATGATTTTTCGTAATTGCATGTGTAATTATCAGATACATAAGGATTTCATATAAATTTTATAATGATTTCAGGAACATTGTTTCACAATTACATTAAGTGATTATTCCTTCGCTATTTTACAAACACAATCTATCTAATTCTTCATTATATTCATTATATTTCTAATATGATTATATTTGTCCTATGCAGGAAGAAAGAAACTGTCCCACTGACAAAAAAATTACCGGCAGTGCCGGAGTCGGTGTTAAAGAGAAAAAAACGCCGTGAAGCAGTGAAAGCTGCGCGTTTACAAGTCTCCATCAAGGTAATTCTGTTTTATATAAACAATTTGATAACACATGCCTTTTTATTACACAGCCTTGTGTCTATAAATGCTAGACTCCAAGACCTTGGAAGAAAATTAATAGATACTATTTAAACTATTGACAAATGTAATTAGTCAATTTTTTTTCCATCTGAAATGTTAAAGTGATATTTCTAGCATTGTGGACACATTATCGTTTCACGATAAGAATGCTATATTTTTTAATGTAGAAAAGAAATGATGAGACCCATGTGACAAGCTGATTTTTATTTTGCAACACAGCAACGTGCAGATCGCTATAAAAAGAGAAAGCAGATTTTCAAAAGAGCCGAGGAGTATGTGAAAGAATATAGGCGAAAGGAGAGGGATGAAATTCGATTGATGAGACAAGCTAAAAATCGTGGAAATTATTATATTCCTGGTGAAGCACGTCTCGCATTTGTTATTCGTATTCGAGGGTAAGTGTATAAACATGTTATTATTAACAAATTAAGCTTTTTCTTTTCTGAAGACTCGATTTAATAATAACATTACAATCAGTTAGTACTGATAGTATAATCATTATTAACATTACATTAAATTAGTACTTAATGTAAAGG